GGGGCTGGGGGCGGGGGGGGCATGCGGGAAATCAGTGTTGTTTAAGAATTTGGCCTCACACGAAATCACTACAGACAAAAAGTTACTACTCCAATTTCTATGGTTCAAGTCACACACTGAAAAGTGGGGGGGGGAACAGCTTTGTTGCCATGCCCTTAGCGCTGTAAAATGCTGAGTTCTAAACATTGCAGCAAGACACTCACTTGTTTCTAAATACATTCACTTGAATCAAAAGATCTTTGCAAGCATTTATTTTAAATTTGAAGGCTTCACTTATGTCCAAGCCACAAATGTTTTATTTAACTCTACTCAACTGCAAACTATAAATCCAGCTCATTTACTATTACTTTTTCAATATTCAGCTTTGGAAGTGTTTCCAATAAGTAAAAGCACAGTCAGCTGAGCTACGAGGGCTACCACACATCTTCCCTGCATCAAGGTGCCCGACTGTTTCTTGAATACTTCTGCCAATTTTATGTGGTATCAGAGAAGCAAACCGTCAGCAGCACTTACCTGAGCACACCTTCCCAATTCAGTCTTGCCCAGGTACTGAAATATCTTCAATGCCAGTTCATAAGGCAGCTGGATGTCAAAGAAAGGAACCTCATTTATTTCATTCTGAAAAGAAAAAAAAGAAAATAGTTTGTTAGGCTTCTTTAATGCACAGCTAGATAGTAGCAAAAGTTACCATGGTACGAAGAAAGGACGTTGTATCCTCAGTGCCATCACAGTTCCATAAAAAAGGCAGAAGTAATTCTGCCCCTCCGTCCTGTAACGGCACATCAGACAGACCACGCGGGCACAAAGGTACCTGAGCTACTCTTTGTTCTCTCTGGGTTCTATCAGGTAAGGAATATTACATGGCTAAGTGGAGCTAAAAAGCAAATCGAGGAGAACTGTAAGGCTTATCTATAGTCAGATGGCACAGAAAGGCAAGACAAAAGTTCTAGTAAAAAAGTTTCTCTAAGGTTTCAGCATCAAAAAGACCAAACAAGTAAGCACTTGGAAGACATATGCCCACTATTAATTTCACTTACAAGATTTCAAACACAGATGATGGAATAATATTTTGATGTAAAACTGAACAGAGAATACGTTACAGTTTGGTTGTCTTTCATCAGTAACATCAATTTCTTTTTAACAGAAAGTGTGTTGAAAGAGTTGCTGCTTCAACTGATTATCACAAAAACATTTCAAAACCAAAGAATCCATCACTTTTCCAAAGAATCCATCACTTTTATCTAACAGCTAAATGCAGCACGTATGTTTTTCCTAGAAGGTTTTTTTGTTTGTTTGTTTTAACTACACAATTACTAAATCTTCTTCCTGAAGTTACTGCACCAAGATTTGTCCTCTCTCTCATTTGTGCCTGGAGATTCCAATTTTTTTATACTATATAATGTAGAGAGAGCAAAGTCAGCCCATTCTGACCATTTCTCTACCACCCATTCTGAAGTTCTGCTCTCTAGTGTTTTTTCCTGGTTTCTGTACCCCCTTCCCAGGTGCTCCCGAACATCTGACCACTCTCCAGCAAACCCCATGCACAAAATCAGCTGCTCAGTATCCCTGCACTGAAACCTATCTCCATTGTTTGCTATCAGAGGGTCAGGCAGACCCCAAATCAGGGTCATCCCCTGCCTCTTACAGCACTTCTCTAGCCCCGACCACTTTTGTTTCTTAGTAGGTCTCTTCTACAACTACTCTGTGCTCATTTAAACCTGGACCCTTTGCAGTACCAATGAAGTAGCAAAAATAGGCAATGCTGGGTTTATTTAAAGTACAGGTACACGGGAAAACCATTGTATAATATGGCTGCGTGGAAGTTTTTAATGCAAATGGTATTCCACACGAGATAAAAGTGTTTAGACAGCACAAAGATGGGCAGTGTTCCCATTAGGCCTTTTCAGCAAGACAGCACCAGTCTATAAACACCGGAACCTCACACTTACTCTAAAGTTACTTAAACTAGACCTGCGGCCAACCTTCCTGCTCCCCTCCCTCCTTGTCCACAATTTTCCTGCACAAACAGCTCCTTTTCCTTTCCTTTCCCCCTCCATGCCGTCTGTATGAGGACCACCGGCTCCACTCCCTGCTGCGGATTTGCAAGAAGTTCGTTTGCTTTCATGTGATTTAAACTGCATCTATTTCCAAAAGGGACGGCAAAAAAAGATACAAAAGGAACTCGGAGAGCACATCTCCGTGGCCACATGCAGACAGACCCCAAGCTGGCCAGATGCGAACCAGCTCAGATCCAGGAGCCGCATAACCACTTTAGAGCAACACGCTGCCCAAACAAATAAGATGAGCCATTCGGCAAGGCTTATTAGCTCTAGGCTTACGAGCTCAGGCACAGCACCACTACGAATATATTGCTTCCAAATTGGAGTTGACTCACATCCAACCAGCAGAACCTGGTCTGTCTGCATGTACCCAAAGATATCATCAGAAGGACAGGCTGCCTGCAGACAAGACCGGTACAGACACAACAGTCAAGACCGACAGCTCTCTCAAAAAAAAGGGGGAAAAAAGAAAGAAAAAACAGCTACACTGATTTTTTTTTTTTTTTAACTAACGTACAAGAGTATTTATAGTCAAACTGTAAGTGCAAGCTCATGAGAAAGCACAAGCAACGGCTCAGACTAATTCCATTCTAATGCAATCTTAACATTAGAGACAGATCCAGGTCTTCCCTTCCTATATCCCAAAAATTCACGCAGCTTGTCTTTAGCACAGCGCTCAGCGCTGCAAACGGAGCGGTAATGTGAAGTCAGCACCAGCCTGTCTAAAAGTCTACTGGAATGAATCCAAAACTCAAATACTACCATCATCCCCTCTGAGACAGATTTGGGCTCCTGTGTGCTAATGGAGCACTAATTCTGTAAATGGATTAATTTGTGCCTTGCAGACAGAAATTTAATCTGTTCCTTTTAATTTTTTTAAGCAAAGAGTAATTAGTCATAGTTAGGTTAGCGAGAAGCAAGAAAATGGGTTTCCCCCCTAGTTTTTCTACGCTGTAAATAAAGTCTCTATTGCATTTAGAGGACTTACCAAAATAACTTTTATCTGCTTCAGAACTGTATTTAAAACTATTTCCAAATTAACTCCTTTATTTAAAGAATTAATACTTGTTTTGTTACTACACTGCTGTGTCACAAGGCAGGATATCCTTAATTACCGCACCTGCATCAAATCGCCTGAATAAGCAACAAAATCTTTTTTAAGAGGATAAAAAATACCATCTCAGAGGAAGAAAAGTGGATTCTGGAGCGTTAAAACCTTGCAAGACAAAACAGATCCAGCAGCCGAGGTTAGAAACAAGCTCACAGGAACCCAAAACTCGGCATCCCCCCTTCTCACCCCACCCCAGCG